ACACCTGAGTCCTCAGGAATGGCAACGCATGGTGGGTATCATGGGCGAAACAGTATACTCTGTTATGTCCATGGTACTGCTCATGTCTATAGGCGACGGTTACCACTTTCCATCAGGTGGACCGTCAGCTTGTAAAAAAAACTAGTATTACGATTCAAAACGTTCTTTAGAATATCATAATCAGTTATATATATATATATATATATATATATATATATATATATATATATATATATATATATATATATATATATATATATGAAATCGAAACTATTAAGTTCAATTTCAATCAAAATTAAGGAATCTTCTACCAGTGAAAGCATGAAACATGGATAGAAAAACTTTAAAATAAAAAGATTATTGTTCATATTAACTTGACAGCAGAAGTTGCCGTGTTAGTATAAAACTTAGAATGTTTGCCCTTTTCGACTCATATTACTTTACTGTTTTTTTATTGGCTAGATAACAAGTATTAAGACATAATACCTATTCCCATATAGCGTCCGTAAGCTGACAAAGTAAGAAAATAATTTATTCCTTTCCATCCTCAGGATAATCAGTTCCATCCTAACAGTAAACTAAAGGAACTACTCGTATGCACAACACACCAATGCAAGAGAAGCAAAACTCGTAACAAAACCCTATAAAATATTGCTTAGTCACCGTGGTAATAGTGGGGAATATGTCTTTCTCTTTTAGGTAATGATCCACGCATAAGAGGGGAACTTTAATAGGTCGTTATGAATGGAATTAGTATAACCATCGCACGTATATTGAATACTCATGTAAACCTTGTAAGAAACAAAATTGCGGCATCCCTTGTTTTTAAACATAGGGGGCTAACGAGCATACGGCTCAACTGATAGTGAGTGACTAGCGCTGTCCATAGGCCCCCACAATATCAGAGAAACTGCAGGTGTGTTGCGAGCCTTTTAAGAAGGAATATACTCTCTTCTTGAAAGTTGTTGTTACATTGGAGGAGGGGGGAAAGAACTGTTAGTAAAGAGACGTAGTGGTCCCATTGCTAGTCATATACCATGCCGATCTCTATGTGGTCTTGTAAAAATTACTGTGGTTAATTTCTAGAGAATTCTGCACGATAGATAGAGTGAGCTGTCTTCATCTTCAACTATCATCACACACTAGTACTATGCTAGCGTTCAACAATAACGCAAGCGCGGTAAATAATAAATTTTCATCATTAAAAAGTAAATGTACTAAACCAAAATTCCTTTTCCCCGTATACGTATGGACAATTATAAAAACAACAAAATATTCCACTGGACGGCTTTTGAACTCTCCTGTCAAGTTTTATTTTGCAAGCGTAGCGTTTTTGCAGTGCAGTGACAATTAATGGAAAGTGACACCCGTTACGTGCAAACTAGAGGGAATTTTAGCAGTATGACTAAAGAGAGTCTGATGAATACTATTTTTTCTAATGTGTCGACATTTTGTTCCTAAAATCTAGACTTTTATAATATGATCCAATGCAATTATCAATGTTAAGGTTAAGTTGTTTAAACCATCAAGAACAGTGTAGTTAATCTAGTGAACTTAGACTATTCTGGTAGATTAACACAGACCCTTTGCTACGCAACTCTAGCATTTTCTAGCAATCAAAACACAAGAAAATATGTATATACTCGTAATTTATTTCAATAGATTTTAATGTAAACTAATGAATAATTGTCCCGATCAAAAGACAGTTGTTTCCACAAATAATAAATGATCAATTGATTGAACATTTCGATTTGTTACTGATTTCATTTAAAGAGTATTTCTGTGAAAATTTCAAAGAAACATAGTTACACACATGATTTCACTTACAAAATATTATTTGGACAAATTAAATTATTACTGTATTAGTACCTTAACTTTTATTGTTTCTTTTTTTATATAATTTTGTGTCATTATGCCGTATAGGAAAGAGCACTGCTTATCCTAAAGTACAGGATTTATCTATTTAGGGAGCAGGGTTTTACCTATATTTAAAATGTAACATTTATTTTTAAATAAATTATTATTATTATTCTGCCATGTGGTGACAACATAGAATGCCTTCCTTTTACGTGATTGTCATAAAAGGCGACTAAATGAGGGTAAGTAACTTAATGGTCGAGGTCTGGGCATCGGCTTTCCTTTGAAAACATCATCAAAGCCTAACAACAATTGCCAATCCACCTGCTAAGCGTAGCAACTACTGACAAAACCCCTCAATAGGAGAAGAACTATGTCCGGTAGTGGACAGTTTACGGCTGATATATTGACGATGATTACTATCTTCAATTCAATTCTGTTGAAACAGACATCAAGTATTGATACGCGTTTATTGCATTCACTTAGCAAGTATCGATCATTACAGATATTACCTAACGCAATCCACTCATACGTGTGTCGATAACTCGTAAAACTGATAAAACCCGTTGTCACCTCGCTCTCGAGGCGACGTTCACAAATTACAGGAAGGCACACGTTATAAGCCACCAAACGACTTCGTATCTCGTTACAGGGGTAGCGATGTCGTTTGATCCCTGTGCTTATGTATCAAAATAGTATTCATAAATCGTCTTGTCGATTGATGGAGAGAATAGTATGTTGTCATTTTCTGAAAAAGGAGATATTGATGCGAGCAATTGTCAGCGTTTGTTCGAATTTGGATTTCTTTTTTTTTTTATATATAAGTGAGAACGTATCTATGTATCGTATGTGGAAGAAGCGAAAGAGGTTTGTTTGAATCGAAGCATTTGGCGTTCCATTGTTTCTGCCTACCCTAATGGGAGACAGGCGTGACAGATATTTATGTATGTATGTATGTAGAACGTATCTCTCGTATTCTGTCACTAGATTGTTATTTGTTTCTCCACATTACTGCAGCAACATTCGTATCTCTTTTTTTTCACACTAAGGTAGCAAACAGATATACGACTCACCTAATTTTAAGCTGTTACCGTAGCCTATGAATGCCTACAGTACCAGGGGCAGTACGCGCGTGTTACTAATTCTGAAGAAATCTCTTTACCACTTTTTTGAAGAACCCCATACTGTTGTCTCTTGGAAAAATCTTGACATTTTCTTATAAATGTCCTGTTAAAACCAAATAATTTATCATGTTTTCATTAATAACACCACAGATATTAAAATACATAATGCGAAAAGGGACTTAGCGATTGTTACACATTCCTTTAAAGTTTTAAGGGGAAATATTGAAAATTCTAACGTTAATTTTTTATGCCAGGCAAATATACTCGTGCTAGACGTCACATATTATTTTCAGTATGTTAGGCTAAAACAATTTTCAACATGCGCTTTTCACTAAAGCACTTGTTCTGTTAAATAATATTTCGAAATTTGACGGCATTTAGAAGGTCTGGAATGTTAATTACGTATAAGTTACTGTGTCTTCCTAACTTCAAAATGAACCTTCTTGACAATCACTTATTAATAGTTATTTGTTTTATTAAAAGAAAATTAAAAGTAAGTGATGATGATAAGTGAGAAGTTATTAACAGAATAACATATAATACAACAACAGGCGGTTATTTTTATTCGAATACATTAAAAGTTTTATAAAATATTTTATGAGATATAGAAATTATAAAAATAAACTATTCGCTCAGCTATCGAATAGATAAAAATAAAATTTTCATCCGATTGCAGGTTAATAAATTTAGTAGGAATTTAATCCGATCCCTCGGTCTCTAATAAGCGACCATTATTATAAATTCATTCAATTTCCGGTTGTTATAGGGAAAGGATAAATTTTAATTTTTACTAATCCTTGACTATGCTCCTAATATTATAATTGTGATAGTTTTGTTATCTGTTAGCTCTTAATCGTAGTAATAATTTTTAAATGTGACATACTCCTATTATTTGAAATGGAGAAAGATATTAGCTTTTTCTCCAGTCAATCAATATGTCCCGGTTACACAGAAGAAATTGTAGACACCGCTAGTATTACAATATAGATTTAACTCCGCAAAAAAACACCGACATCCGACCGTGACAATTAGTATTGACTAAACATAGAAAGAGAATATCATAGTAGATACTGTTTTAATCAATTTGACCAGTTATCAATCTTATTTTGAAAGGAATAAGACATAAAATCAAACGCACCAATTAACTATAATGTGTTTGTAATAACAGAAACATATATAATACCTTATTTTTGAAGAAAATAAAAACGTAATATTGTCTTCGTTTCATATTCACCTTATTCTATAATAACGTTATGGTTCACTAGAGAATCGCTGTTACTTATTGTTATGATTATTTATTATTCAGAAATAAATATTTCGATCTATTGTATTCGTATGTATGTTGTATGAATTTACAGAGTACAGAGGCATAAAACTTTAGTCCTCAGAAATGACAACGGAAGGGGGGTATCATGGACGAAACAGTATACTCTGTTATGTCCATGGTACTGCTAATGTCTATAGGCGATGATTATCACTTTCTATCAGGTGGACCGTCAGTTTGTTTGTCATTCTAAGTTCCATAAAAAAAATGTAGAATCGGTAAAATGGTTAGAAAATATAGATATAACCATCTTACTTAATTTAATATTAATTAATCTAAATACATAATTTAAGAATATTGTAGATGTACAATATTCTCAAACTATGTACATTTATTTTGTTGTTTGATAAATTTTTGATTGTGATGCATTTATATACAACTGGAGTACAGGAATGTAATGAAGATACTAAGTTTGACATATCCGACAATTGTTTTGACTTCATCCAGAAGTCTTTTTCAAAATAAATATGGTACTTACATTGTCTCGCGCATTTATTAAATTCCCTTTGTCCAGTTGAATATAAATAATGTAAAACTTAACAAAAGTTTTAAAAAATAATGCAACTCATTTATGTAATAATATGAATTGTCGTAGTATTTGAGTATTGACTTGTAAAGTACATGTTCATCGACTTCATTCAAAATACCTCTATATAAAGTACATTGTGCATCACTAATTAGTTGTCAACTTGCAGCGGACGAGAATGGTTCAATATCGGAGACAATACCCGACCGACCCGTTGAGATCAAGAACTTTCCCAAACTATGCGAGCAAAGGAGGAAATTTCCAGTACTGTACAAACTAGAATTCCAGGTATGTTAAATAAACAATGATTTTTATATATTACACTATTGAATATATAGGATCACTGACTGAAACGGCAAAAGTTGTTTTTCCCTTTACTGCCATCTACCAGGCCCATTATCTTATCGAGATGAAAGTTATATTATTACCTCTCAAGTTTCCATTAAATAATACATACTTAAAAATTCATTAAAATCGATTCAACTGTTTACCATAGCATGGTACGATATCGTATCATTTTACCGTCACGATATAATAGAAGAGCAAAAACCATTCAATTATATGAGATACTTTAATTTACCGCAGCAATATACATAGTCTTGCACGGTATGATGATATCGTGGGCATTTAGATTTATCGTGGGTAGATATTTTACCAGAGGGAGACTTTGTACAAAAGTCGATGGCTTGGACACCTCTGTCCCATCCGTGTTTCTACCGTGAAGCAGTTGTGTTTGCATGGCTGTGTTTCGGTTTGAAGGGTGGGATATAGCGTGAATTTACAGGGTACAGAGTAATAATACCTGAGTCCTCAGGAATGGCAACGCATGGGAGTATCATGGGCGAAACAGTATAGTCTGTTATGTCCATGGTACTGCTCATGTCTATAGGCGACGGTTACCACTTTCCATCAGGTGGGCCGTCAGCTTGTTTGCCATTCTAAGTTGTATAAAAAAATGTACTGAAAATTAAGTCTCACCATACAATTGCACACAGTATATTTCCTGATTTTATGCAATTATATCGTGATTTGTGATGAGTAAAATGGTATAATATTATGTTATGCTGCGGTAAATTATAAAAGCGTGCATTGTCCTTACAGTGAACATGATAAAATTTCAACTCTTATGCTTACTTTTATTAACTGAATAAAAATATGCACTTTCAACGCCGGATAACCTTATAATTTCTTATATTAGAAATTATCTACTAAAATCATTTTTCATTTCCTGTCTGTATTAATTTATTTTATGATAAATGATCCTATATATTTGACAGCGTGTCGTATCCACTGCACTGAGTACGCTGGTGCCAGAGACAGACATAGACAACGCAATTAAACTAATATATATGAAAACTGTGACCTATATCGTCATAGTCGTAGAATACTGACGGATCTTTATATGTAATCTTTGTCAAATCCGTCAGTATTCTACGACTATGACGATATGTATTTATGTATAGTGCTATGATGTTAACAAACCCTTTTCTGCATCAAATACTTTTGATGACATCTGTATTGTTGTTTTATTTTATATATTTACGTGTAGGAACTTGGAATCAAAATTTCACTGAGCTTATTTGTGGCCAAAAATAAAACCGCGAAGTATAATGTTTATTTCAATCTATATATATTTACTAATAGTTAATGTGATTGTTTTGTCTATTTAAGACCTGCATTTCTAAGGCAAGTGGAATAATTTATCATCGCTGCCAAGCGCATGAAATAGAACCAGATAGTAATATTCTTTCTTGTTTATTCTCGCAGGAAAGTAAATGTACCTATCTACCGATAGATACTTTAAACATTTGTCTAGGAGATTGAAACAAAAATCAGTTTCTGATATAATAATTAAATTTAATACGAAAACAAAAACAAACTATACAATTGGCATAGCGCGTTAGAATTCAACAGTGGTAACCTATAAGTGATGTCTTGAACAACAAAATGTAAAGATAAAAATTTTACTCATATTTATTAATGATATTTGCCATATTTACATCAATATAAATACAACTTAGTCCTCAGGAATAACAATGCATGAGGGGTATCACGAGCAATACAGTTTACTCAGTTATGTTCATAGTATTGTTCATGTTTATAGGCGAGGGTTACCACCTCCTAACAGGTGGGCCATCGGCTTGTTTGCCATTCAAAGTTGCATAAAAAAATTAATGATTTTTTTAACATAATGACTTTTTTTATTATGTCAATACTTAGTGGCAATAAAATTTATATTAGACCAACAGAGGAGTATACCTCATCGAAAGAAAAATAGACACAGATATATGTCGAGAAACTATTTTAGTAAATGAAAATATCTAAATCTAATTAATTATTTTATTTACAAGAAGAAATAATAACAGAATATTACTTAATCCAATATAACATTAAAAAAAATTAAAAATATATATAATTAAAGATAAAAAATTTCTTTGAGATCACTGCCAGCTGGTAGAGTGCCTAGGATACTTGCTGCATTTCCACGCTGAATAGCAATGGAAATGCGTTGACCAAAGTATAGGCCAGCCTTCTGATCACCAGAGGTTTCCACCAGCCGGCGTGAGATCTCTTTGAAAAGATTCATGGCCTCGGGGCCCCACGGACCCAGAGTTTCAACTCCAAACGCCGCAAATATATATCCATTACCAAGGGATGAATATTTACGGCGCTTGATAGACTCCTGGTGTGTTGCGGCGGCACCAGCCCTCTTGGATGTACTTGGAAGGTGAGACGGTGCCACCGTGTCAACGCAGGTGAAGTCCCATACAAGCGGACGTCCCATCCTCCAAGGTACCAAGGACATCCCGTCAGGTCTCTTGCCATCGTCACGTATCAAACCAGGAGGTTCTAGAATAGCAGGCACGCCCGCGGTGACAAGAGCCCGACGGAGAATGTCATTAATAGCTGAGTGGCGCAGCAAGCGCCCAGCACTCTTTAGGCAAGATAGGCCATGGTGTCCCAAGGCACTGACGTTGTCCCCACACCTGCAGTAGTGGGGAGCATTCGTTTTGGCCCCCAATCTGAGAGAGATTGAGAGTCTAAACGTTGCGTTATCCAATAATGTTCCGATATGAGGTGAGGGAATTGTGTGTAACCAAAGGCTAGATTCCCATTTGGACACCGCGAGAAGACGGGCGCTTTCAGCAGAGTTCTGGGAAGAGTCTAGTAACGAAGTTCTGTATAAATCATTAATGGGCTCATCCCATTGCCTCTGGATTTTGGGATTTATGGGAGAAGCTACATTGGGACAAGCCAGAGACCAAGCTTTTCTAGCCTCAGGCAGGTAAGCTATCTCGAAATCACCGAAAAAAGGTGTTAGTATTTTTTTCACGAGATTCTGCGTACCGTGCGCTGATGATAGAAAAGCTGGTAGAGAGATATGGGAGATTTGGCGGATTCCCAGGCCCCCATGCCTGACCGGCAAAGAGGCCTGAGTCCATATACGGTCTTCGAAAGTGATATTAAAGAGGAAGCTCAGAATGCACTTTATTTTTTCATCAAATTTTGCGGTGAGGTCTGGATATTTCCAAAAGGGTGTACTACGAAGAACTTGAGTAAAATTGGGTACAAAAAGGCAGTATCGAATAATATTATATGCGATGTGAGTGTTGATATTTAGGAGGCGGTCGGAATTTGAACAGAACTTACTAATTTTGTTTTCCACAAAGCTGGGGAAAGATTCATCAAAAATAGGTGATCCAAGGAGGTGAAGTGAACTTTCATTTAAAATTTTGATATTTGGAGCCAGGGTGTTAAATTTAGAAATTACTTCATCTTTATTAGATAAACTATCCGGAATGAAAAGTTCACATTTGGAAAAATTTAGTTCAAGCCCAATATGTTCGAATTCTTGTATTAGAATATGAAGGTCATCGAAAACGGTGTTTACACTTCCTCCTAGGGTACCGTCGTCTAAATACCACACATTGAATTTCGAATTTAGAAGCCGAATAATTGGATTAATTCCTAGGCTAAAAATGGCTGGTCCCAGAGGGTCGCCCTGCTGACAACCAACAGCCGAGAGTAAAGTATTATTTAGATACATAAGTTTAGTAGGTTCGCTATAACATTGCCATAGGAAGTTGTAAATGTGAGGGATTTTTTGTTTAATTTGAGTTAACAGGGCGTCCCTACTAAGTGAATTCAAGGCATTCTTAACATCCACCTTTAGCAAAATATCGTTGGTAGATTGGGTAATGTATGTGCGGAGAGAGTGTATGGCTGCTTCACACCCACCCTTGGAACCGAAACCGAGCTGATATGGCTCAAATTCCTTTTTCAGGTTATGTGATATGGCTTTGCAGCAGATTTTAGCAGCAAGCCGTCTGTAGGTAGTACCTATTGCTATAGGTCTAACACCGCCGTCTTTTTTGGCGAGAGCGCAAAGGTTTGCACCGTATAAAATTTCGGTTATGCTCTCATTTATTTTTCCCGAGAGCATTAGGTTTACAAGGGCTGTTAAGTCCTCCAAAAGCGAGGTGCTGGCATCGCCTGGAGTACCATATAAGAGGTCTTTCAGGTGCTGAGGAGTAAGTCCATCTAGACCACCAGCAGACCCACTGTTGAAGGACTTAACTGCATGCAAGACATCCTGGGTTGAGGCGACGATATAGACATCTGTGTTTTCGGGTGCGTCAGGAAGGTTGAGGTTGGATGGCAAAGGTGGATGTTTAGAATGTAAAGCAGCAAGTGTAGATGGGATATTAGGAGCTACAGCATCATTGGAAAAGAGGAGACGGGCCGCACTTTTGACATCTCCGTCATGCACTTTGCGTTCAACTTTTTTATAAATACTACTTCCATTACGAAAAGTTGGATGTTTGAGGAGGTTTGAGATCCGATCAGATTCCAGTTCCGAGCTGCAACAGTTTGATTTTAATGAACTGGTTAGGGAAAGGTTTTTACGGTCAATGTCGGCATGTAATATATGGTAAGGGAAAGTTAGCAAAAGCTCCCAGCTATGTTTCGAGTTATCTGAAACAGCAGTTTTTAGGCTTTCAGATAGTTTTTTCGCCACAGATGAACGGGCGGCTCTAGGTATTCTTTTTACAAGAGGGACAGAATGTTTTAATTGACTGAGTGTTTCATAGAAAGGCTTGTTTTGATTGTTCGAGTAGTTTAAAAATTGGGAAATAGGTTGTTCAGAATTTTGTTTATGTGTTTTACTGGCATGGATTCGGAGACCTCTCTGGCCTTTTAAAAAACGCGGCTGGGGACATATTGGGCATTGTATATCATTATCCTGTGATGCGGTAGATCCTGTGGGCTGTAATGGAACATTATTG